GCTCACTTATTTGGTGTTGAAGGGACTTGATGCATAATTTCTTAAATCGCTCCCACTAATCATAGAGCAACTCTCCTGGATGCTGGTTGATACCGCTTATTTCTTTCCTTAGATTTGCAGCTCGAAACGCCGGAAAGTATTTGTCTAAAAATTTTTTCTTCAGCTGGTCCCACGTGGTGATACTACCTGGTGGTAGGTAGTACAACCAGTCTTTCGTGGAGTCCTTCAAAGAGAAGGGGAATGCCTTCATTTTTATCTGTTCTTCTGTAATTCTTAGGGAATTCATACTGTTGCAAACGACATCGAATTCTTGCAAGTGTAAGACTCCTCACCAGGTAAACCATGAAAAAATAGTAAAAGATGAATTAGGCCATATTTTAACTCAAAAGATGTGTTATCATTTAAATGCGAAAAAATAATGTATAAGGGCTACTAATTTAAATCAAAAGCAGCCAACTCCCTTAGTGTTCGTGCATTCGCCATGGTGGCTTCCTCCTGGTCTGAATCACTCGAATTAGCACTACGCAAATTCGTCGACTCAACCTCTGGATCAATTCTCTGAGGTGCAACACTGGACTGCTCCTCTTTGAGCTGTCTGGTCTTTTTCTTCGTTCTACACGTTGTCTTCTCTACTTTGGGGTCAAAAATTAGTTCGTTTGTACGAGAAGAACGAGGCATATACTAGAAAAATATTAGAAGATTAAAACAAAAATGAACTTAAAATGAAACAAATAACTAACGCCAGTCCCCGGCAACAGTGTCAAAAATTGACAGGTTGTCGATTCCTGTGCAATAATAAAAATAAACCTAATTGCCAATTAAAGTAACCAAAACCCGCTTCTAAGTACTGGAGTAAGGATTCTAGGTGTGCAATGGGTTACTTGATTCACCCTGTGCTCGAAGAGTTTGTTTAATCCGATATACCAGAATGAGCTTGCTTATTTACAAGAAATTATTGATTTGTATAAATGGCAAGTAAGGTCTTCTCCTTAGGAACTGGGGATATTTGTCTCTTTTGAAATCCAAAGTAGCACGGGGAGTGTTTTAAGTAATTCAACTAAAAATTAAATGACAATTCACCTGGGCCTCCGCTACCCCCCTCCAACGCCTCTCTCTCATCCTCAGCGTTATTTATTTACGACGGCTTGGAGCTCCTGCTGTCCATCAACCCCGACAAAAGGCCGTCTGCAATGCCCAAGAAAAGCGACACCGTTCTGCATGCCAGGATGGAAATCTCCGGCCTTAAAGAGGGATTTGGTTTTTGGGCCGATCCGTTTTGGGTTAAAAGGCTCGAGAGTCAGGCCCGGACTTCAGGGTCTCATTTGATAAAGGCTTAGACTAGTACAATTTTGGGACTGTCCTCTGTAAATGGACTAGGAACATGACAATTCCTTACAAAGCCTGCCCTGTTTCATCTGTAAAGATGGAATGAGTGACCTAAAAAAGAAAGAAAGAATTAATCTTTTTTACTGAGTCAATATATACATTTATGGGATTAAATGAATGTTATATAATTTCAATTTGAATTTAAAGTATCAAACTTTGCATTTGGTGTGTAGTTGGAGTGCATAAAAGATTTATCCAAAAGTATGTAAATAAGCAGATTAATGCCCGGTTTGATATGCAAAGATGGAAAGCAATAAATAAACAAAAGTGTCAAGCCAAGTTTTAAGGGGATGCGGTCGACAAATTCCTTGTATGTGTCCCTGAAGAACAGTATCTGTATGTATGAAATGGGGTCAGATCTGGAACTAAAAAATTTTTAAGCTACAAGGTTTGTTTTTCTGATATAGAGAGATTTTCAGCTGTTGGCCCAAAAGCTTGTCAGGACCACCCATGAGTTCGAAAACTATATGAATAAATTGGTTTAATCTTCTTCAGTTCTGAGGATTATATGTTCCATTTAGATCTTGAGACTGGAGTATGGGTCCAAAGGTACAAGTTTGGTGGGCATTAACAATAATTTTTGGCTCTCGAAAACAAAAAAACTGGGGCATGGGTTTCTTCTTTGGTCCACATTCCAACTTGATTCTCTGCCATTGGACGACTAGTTTCCCATCAGTTGTGTCTCGACCACGCCACCCACTTCATTCCTTAACTTTTCCCATTTTGTCTCTTCTGCGAAGCACAAACATCCAGTTCTAACGAGCCACATGCTCAGAGAGAAAAGAAGAAGAAGATAAAAAAGTTTCTCTCGAGAAAAACAACAATGCTAGAAAGGATGGCATTTCAAGGCCCCCACCAGATTCCTTTAGTCCACCTACCCTAATCTCAACTATGGCCAGCAGCACACCCTACCGTAGGGGAAGGGGGTAAAAAATGTTGTAGTACGTACTTTAGATTGCGAAAAAACAGAAAGAGAGAGAGAGAATTTTGTGTATTCTAGAATAGCTCAGGGGTTTAACGGGACTCGAATTTGTCTCTTATAAAAGATGACAATTAAGCAATTCAACTAAAAATTAAATGACAATTCACCAAAATCAGAGTAATAATAATTAAAGGTCTAGTCAAAAAATAATTTCAGCAATAGTTCACTTAATTGATCATCGATGCAAAGGTAGTTCTAATTATTTACTAATATATAGGTTATTACTGTCAAACAAGCGATGACAGTCAATCCCTTCTTATTGTGTCGGTGATTAAGATACGCCCGTTAATCACTACTCTAATTGAGAAATAATTTTAGATATGCCCGTAAGATTTAATTTTTCAATTGCCTTACGTATTAGAGGAGTCCTATTCTAACTAAATTACGCACTACCAGGATTATTTCAGGTTAGCTCGCATATTCTCCTGACACAAATCCAATCCTGCCAGTTGTCACTATTTCAGAGCAATTAAATAATTACGGATTTAACGTCCCAATTGACAATAGATTACCCAATCAATTAATTATCCGGATCCAAAATAATCAATTAATTGAACAATCATAAGCACTGTAATCAGAGAACATGCTAATACCAACAAATAAAAGAAATAGATAAAATTAATTCGATCTCACAATTTTTAGAAGAACCAAAACCTTCGTTGTTCCTTAATTAGAAAAAGCAATTTAGTTCATCGTTGATAAGAAAAATCCATACAAAGCTGAAGAAACTAACACGGCCATTGTCTTCGATTGAGAAAGCTCAATTCGTTCAAATACTGAAAGGATAGCAAAGCTACAGAGAATGATTAAGTTTCCTATTGCCCCTGACATACGCAGGGAGAGAACCACTAGAGGACGAAAAGGAAAAGTCACAAAGCTAATCTAAAGGTCGTCACCATTGTCTGCCTCTATTTTCTATCTAAATCCTCCTCTCCTCTACTATGCGGCGCCCCCGAGGAAGAAAAGGGAGACTCCAGGTCCTTTTCCGTCTTCTCTCTCTTCGGCAATTAACAAAAGGGGAAAAGTTTCAATCTTCCAAAAGTGTCCCTCGTTGACTGCTGCTAATACTCCTTTTTTATAACTGTCAAATTTGCACCCTTTTATGGTATTTGTGTTTCATTCCTTGTAATAAATACAAATTTTTAAAAGTGAATAGAATTTGACAATTAATCCACATTGGATCAGGTAATAGAAAAAATTAATTATAAATAAATGATAAAATTGTAACCTATCACACAACTTATATGTCTGCTACCTCCAGTTATGTATCATGATTGCTGAAAGGAGCTAATTCGCTTTAAACTTGAGATTCTACCGGGATGGAAATGCTTGCTTTGAACTTCCACCTCCTGGAAATATATTTATCATCTTTCTTCAAATTATCTGATTATTGATAATCTTATTATGTTTCTTAAATGATGGGATTCTACTTTCTTCAGCTGTGATCTCTTTACATAAATCCAATGGTCAATCGAGTTACTCTGATCTTTATATAACAAGGATCTGTTGAAACAAATAACACATCAAAGACCCTTGGATAGTAGAATGGCTACATTGCTGGAGGATATCTCTAATATGCAGAGTTTGTTTTGCATGTGCTCCTTTTGTTTGGGTAGGGAAGAAAATATGGTGGATAGCAGAAAACTTAGTGTTGATGCCTTAGGCATTATTTTGGACGAGGAAAGGAATTTTTCTCAGTGTCTTTGAACACTTATTGTATAGTTCTCCCGAGCCGTTGCTTGCACATGTAATTTCTTTTCTATAATGAAATTTTCCTATTGTTTCGACAAAAAAAATAAAAATTGAGTTACTCTGATTGCCCTTGGTTGTGAGATTGGTAGTCTGATAATTTATAATACCATCTATCTTCTCCCACTACTTAATATTGGGTTTTAAGCAATTTAATAACCAATGCACTAACTAAAACCTATAAAAAATTGTCATGTTTAAGACATTTTCAAGCAGCAGAGACTTGGTAGACTATCCTCTTCTGAAGTTTAAATTCAAATGCAATGATATGAGATTTTAAGGGTAAAATAGTTGTAATTAGTTCTACTTGTTGCATCTTGCAGTCTCAAATAGTTCGCTTTAATGGCAATTCTGGGACTCTCTGCCTCTCCTGCTTGTGGGTGCCAGTCATTATTGTTATAGAACTTTTTTTTTTTTCAGTGTTTTGAGCAAAAGCTAATATAGTTTTTGTGATGCTTCTGGTACTTGTGGAATGAACAGAAAGATTTAATATTTGTTTACTGATTTACGTTAGAAAAGAGCAACCAAAAAAAAAATATTGATTTAGCTTTCTGAATAATTGTCTAAACAAAAATGTCATGCAATTTCAAGTTAGCCTCAGGATTTGCTATGTGAAGTCCTGAGTCTGAGTTTTCTGTTTTGCAGTGACTGTAGGTTTATAGCTCTGTAGGGAACCCCGATGGCTCCTAATCACCGCCTTTACTTTTCAAAGTCCTTTCTTTCCTTTAAAGTATATCAAGTGATAATTGGAGCAACAACAGAGTAGGTCTGCCAAGTTGGATGCAAAGTCGGTCCTCTCTCTCTTCATCATGATTGAAAGTTGCAGGTAACTCTTATCATGAATAAGCGCAATATTTGATAACCTTCACAGACTAATAAGCCATGCATGGTTCCATACCAATCTAAACTAATGGAACTAAACAATCATTTTGGTTAATTTAAAATGTCAAATTGGTATTTCTCCCGTTGTATCACATCTCATTTGCTGTTGCAAAGATCAAACATGGCAAATGGTGGTCCAATTCAATACCATCATGTTGCAGTACTACATTTAGAGCTTCAGTTGCATATTTTTTTCAGTGACCAAAATGAACGAGATTTTCTTGGGTTAACTGAATAACGTTTTGGATGAACCAGCACTAAACAAATCCACTAATATGAGTGGAATTAAGAATTTAGTTTTGTTTATGATGTATGTCAGTTACTGTCCTTTGTACGTCGTGATTGCTAACATCGGTGCACTCTCTTTAAACTTGTGATTTCACCAGGATGAAATGATTTCTCTCTCTGAAGTTTCACCCGTTGAAAATGCATTGGACATTTTAGATTTGATACCACAATCAGCAATTCTACAAACCTTTTCTATAAGACTTTAAACCCGCAATTCTCTACTGCACTCCTTCCTCCTGCACTTAACAGGGAGATTTTTGAGGTCTCTCCCCTAGATTAACTTAGATTAGATTTTTATAGCTGGTATTAATTAATTTTCATTTTGCATTTCCTACAAGTTACCCATCAATATGAAATAAGCACTAGAAGTTTAATTTTGTTGATTTTATATATTTGCTTTTGTGGATGTAAGATGTGATTACTAAAGTGATCGGCTCCCTAACTTATGTTCCTAGGGGAGTAAACAGTTGCTCCAAAGTTTAATCGCCTCTTGAAGACACATTTATCAAGCTTCTTGAACCATTCGATTAGTGATTTGTTCGATAATCTCGTAGATGATGGGTTTCTGTCTCGTTTTTACTTGGTTGTGATTTTCTAGCCGTAAAGATTTCAGGAGTTTCCAAAGCTGTTGGCTGTCAAACTGGATTTTGGTTCTAGGAGTCCGGGAAGGTCAGATATACTACTCTTCTTTTACTACTCAATTTTTACTTTTAAATACTTTGATTCTGATTATATTACAACTAAAACTTGAGAAATCTTCTCGTAATGTAAATGTTTTTTTGGAGCAGCTATGGAAGATGTACTATTCATGCAATAAAGCTGCACAGACTTGTTAGAGTATCTTCTAACACAATCAAGTCTAAGCTGCAAGTTTTGAAGCATATCGCCGTAGTTAGTAAAGACTGTCAAGCATACTTGCTGCCCGCTGCTACTTGCTGCAATTATTTCATCCACTGTGATGAAGGCTATTAAGCTCATTCTGTACTTGTTGATTGCTCCTCCCTTCATGGTAAGTTCTTATTTTTGTGTTTCAAATACAACAAAAATGTCATGCAGCTAAGTGTTGGCTTTATTCTTGACTACATGTTGTCTCGAGTTTCTTGGGCTTTTGTGTTTTGCAGTGATTTTACGCTCAAAACCTTCATAGCTCTTACTTACCATCCTTGGTACATTATTAAAAGTCCTATGATCCCTTGCTGAACCAAATCCTGTTTCAATCAGATCAGATGAAAACATCCAGGATGGAATTCTCTTTTGCTCTCTGCCTTGGATGGCTAAAGCCTGAGATCTTCCTTGTCAGCCGGTGATTTTAAACTGTCCAACCATTCAGCAATTTGTAGACATGTTAATGAGGTGTTCTTTTACTTCTTTTGGAGCTCAATTTGCCATATCTTCCGTGCTGCTTGTAGTTCAAAGTAGCCAGTATTTTACAGCAGAAAGATGTGTATTAGCTGAACCCTGATAGCTGCTTGCATCCTCTTGAAGTTGTATCTTAGCTCCACAACAGGCAACATATTTTTTCTGAGTGTTTTGCAGTTGACTACATGGTTGTGTCCAATGATACTTTTCCATTGCTCCTCGTACCTGTAAAGCTCAGACAGGACTCAGAGCACAAAGAATCAGTCAGCTTGAGACCTTCTATTTATGTTAATTCGAGAGCAATTTAGAAAAATGAATTTCTAAGGCACCAATTTCTATTCAAGAAAGGATCCCACTTGGTGGCTGGGAACGTTGGAGAGATGAAATTATGGAAGTCATATTAACAAGAATTAAACGGGAACATACAAGGTCAACCTTAGTTCATCAAACTGACATTTTACATAGCATCTATTTGCAAAATTACTTCTATGTGAACTTGTCACCTTGTACGTCAATATTGTTCCATGAAGCAATAATGTGACAAGGATCGTACACATCTTGGCTTCAAATCCTATTCATTGCTAGCTCAGGATATGTTACAAGGAATGCATTTCTACTTTTCTATGCCTCTAAGACTTTGGCGGCCAATACAAGTAAATATTCTTATATCTGTATCAGTACAGAAAGTAGTAGTAATATTTTAACTAGTTACCCAAAAACAATAAAAACTAACTTCTCAGAAAGAAGGAAGGGGATCTGTTTTTGCACAAAAATGTCAGATGAACTTATTTCTACACGAGGGGCGGGGGGGGGGGGCTGCTTTCCTCCTGTAGAATGTTTTGGATATCAACTTTTTTCTTGTGAATTTACAAATATATAAATAAATAAGTAGAGGAAATGACAATTCGAAAAATAATAATATAAAAAAATCATTCAAAACGCGTCCCAGGAATTTCTTGCAAATGAGCCTAGTAAGGGCTTGTATTGGAAGTTTCATGTCTATTGTCTGTAATTCTGTGACGTTGTAGCTGGCTCTGAATTAGTTTATAATGAAAATTTTGTTCCACACTGATCATATTGCTGTGCCTTCTTTTGGAGGTGTAGCCCCCCTTTCATTGCTATTGCTTGACTGCAACAATTGCTGTCATTTCTCAAACCCCAGTTCTAATTCTAATTCTCAAGGATCAATAACTGAGACCATATTATGTTTCTAGTTCATTTTCCAAGGATTAACTAACCAAACAAACACTGCCGAACATCAATTATCACATTATTTATTACTGCCGAACATCACTATTTTTGAGCTAAAAGATAAAAATGTGTTTTTGAATGAGTGCTTTACCTTCTCTCTTACAACTAAAACGAGGGATTAGAGTAAAAGATGGAGGAGCCGTTTGTAGACGAGAAAGAATAGCTTTTGGTTAGACTTTTTACGTACCAATAAAAATCCAACTATAGGACAGCCACATTTTCTAAATACATTATTTAACTCTTTTTTCTCACAAACTCATTATTTTTCAATTGAAAAGTATTGCTAATAATAATTGATTTTTACTTTGAAAGAAAGTTCTGTCATAAAGTTAAAGAAGACATTCTCATCCATTTGGTATCAAATTTTGCACTTATAATACCCAGAAAAAAAAATTCAATGTTACGCTAAATATATTCTTTTGTTTTTGTTCTCGTCTTTTTTTTTTTTTTTTTTGGGCCGACAAGGAACACGACATAATCGTTATCAAGCTATAACAAAATCTTCAAAGTTGAATTTTCGTAATATGTTTTCCTCTTTCTCATTGATTGAAATTATTTGCAATAGGAACTGTATTACAACATAAGATCAGAGCACTTACTTGTCAACATTCCAGACATTGATTTATGCAATATTTTTCCGTTTTGATTTGTAAGACATTGATAAAGACTTTTTTTTTTTTTTTTATAAGAATGACGCTACTTTTGTATTTTTTAAGAATTATGATTATTGAATGGTTTAGTATATTGTCACTGATGCGACCATTAATTGGATCTGCTTGTGGAAAAACTGTTACCATTATATTTTTAGCATGAGAATAAAAAGGTGAAATATATTTATATTCATTATATAGTAATATGAATTAGATCTTAAAAAAATTCGAGGTTTGAGACAATAAGGTTAAAATATGATATTAACTAGAGGTGGTAATATGGATAAATGGTTCATAATTGGTTTTGGCTTAATGGATGGTGGATGAAATTTATCCAATCCATTTAGATCCATTTAATAAATGGATCTAAATGGATTAAATAAAAACCAATTATCCATTTATAATCCATTTATATATTTTTGGTTACTTTTTTTTTTTTTGTATTACCAAGTAACTATACCTATTCCTGATCCTACCAAGTAAGAATTTCATGAAAATACTAAAGTATTTCCATGTAACTGTCATCTTATATAATCCCAGACAAAGAGGACAATCAAATGAACAATATTGCTGGTTGAACGATGTAATTTTAGGATAGCTCCCTTTTTAGTCATTTGCTGTCCGTTTCTTTTATTTGGTTTTTAAGTAAATGGATATATGTGGTTTTTGTGGATAATCCATATAAATTCATTTAATTTAATGGTTTTACTTTGATCAACTATTTAAAACCAATATTATAAATGGATAATCCAAATCCATTTAATTATGGATTATATGGATGGATAAATGGATCTCAATCCAAATTGCAGTCGAAACCAATAAAGGCTCCAGCACTTAATCAGAAGATGTGAAAGCCCCAGAAAAAAATAATGATTGAAAAGCATCTAAAGTTACAATAATTGAGAAAGTTAAAGTGAAATTGCCAATGCAAAAGCATCTAATATAAAGAAAGTTTGTAAAAGAAGAGCTGCACACATTTTCTACGCGGACTAATCATCGATGTTCTTTTCTTCAAAACCCCAATTGTTCTACTCCGAATAAGGTTACCTGTTGGTGGCTGCAAAAGACCTTCTTCCATTGAATAGGCTATACTTTAAAAAACAAGCTTTCAATTACAGAATTGAATTACTTTTCATTTACTAATTGCACACATTTTTCACCAAACATTTCTTTCTTCTGAAAAACCTTCGATAATCGTATGAATTAATTCACTCTCTACCTTTTGAAGTTCTTTTTGGGATTTAGATAATCGTCTATGCTCACAAACTCCATTTAAACTTTGTGATCATGTTACAAGCAAAATACTTAGTGCTGAAAATTAAGCTCAACAAGTAAATGCTCATCTTTATTGGGAAAGGTCCAAGGCAACCAAATTGAGCAAAATCAAGGACTGTTTCTCTTTTGACTTGGTAAATTATATGTTGCTACTTCAAGAAACTCCTCAAATTTGCACCACTTACATCTTGTACGTGGAAAGTTGTTAAGTTCCTTCTTCTAAGTTTTTTTTTTTTTTTTTTTTTATAAGTTTTTCCTAACAGGAAAAGAGTGAGATTTTAAGAAGCGGAATGGGGAACGTGAAAAAGAAACAGCCTCCACTTAGATTTGAATGTGTAGTAAATACTGGCTTAATACGTTTAGTTATATTTCTTTGAATTTCTTACTTCTATTAGCTATTGAGATCTGTATTAATGCTGAAGTTAGTTGTAAGAACAAGTAAAACTTCCTCTCTTATCTTCAACTCAAAGCTGTCGTCAGCAGATATAATTGAGGACTTCTGGGCCATGGCCCAGCCTTCTCAAATATTTTAGCAAAGAAAAATCTCGTGTGTTCTCTGTTCTGATCTTGGCCCTGCTTCCTTATGCTTTGAGAAGCTGACCATGAAGATTCTAAGAGAATGATGAAAGAATTTAACGGTAATTAGGGTCTGTTTAATAACATAAAAAAGTGATGAAATTGAATTTTTTCAAATATTCATATATTTTGGATGTTTAATAAATAAAAATCCATCTGCTGAACTTGTTAAGTGGCGTTGCATTTGTGTGTATTTTTTTCAATACAAGAATCATAAATTAATGCTTAATTCTGTTAAGAATTAACGGATTTACTTCAACTATCTTATCTTATCTACTAAATCTACCTTTGTTTGTTAATTATGTTCAAAATTCTTATTTAATTAAACAACTTGATATTCTCTATCTAACGGTTTTCTACTTCTCTTTTTTCCCTATTTAATGACTTTCATATCTTCTCCATACTCCTCATACAATATATTTCGTCTTTTATATTAATTTGATTTAAAAATAAATATTGACATTTTTATACATAACAATTTTAAGTTAATTAAATTATAGGTTTTATTTCTTTTATTTCTTTTTTGGATGAAAAGACAAAAAAGATAGAAGGGTAAAATTGTACAATTTAGCTAATTAAGCATTCAGTTATAAATATTTATCAAATAGTATAAATAGGTCCAACATTAACTTTCAGACATTCATATATTTCTTTTCAGTACTTAAAATTTAACAAATTAATTGTTTTAACATTTAGATTTTAAAATTCAGATTTACTTTTATCAAATGTAACATAAGGGCTAACTACACTTAACCCTCTTGAACTTGGAAGTAAGACGTAACACTTTATCCTTTTGAACTCAGGATACATACACTTTGCTCCTTAAAATGACTGTATAAAATGTTTAACACAAAAATTAGGTCCAAAAACTGGAAGAAATCACATTAATGCCCAGAAATGATTAGCTATATGCGTGGCATGCCCTATTAGGTAGGGCTTTTGGGTGCCTATTGGCGCACTTAGGTTCCGTTTGATAAAACTGAATCTGAATTCTGAAGTTTGAATTCTGAAATCTGAATACTGAAACAATTAATTTGTTGAATTTTAAGCACTAAAAAAAATATATGAATGTCTGAATTTTAATGCTAAACATATTTATACTGTTTGATAAATATTTATAACTGAATGCTTAATAAGTTTAATTTGATAATTTTGCCCTTATATCCTTTCATTCAAAAAAGAAATAGAATTTATGATTTAATTAGTTTAAAATTGTAAGGTATGAAAATGACAATATTTATTTTTAAATCAAATTAATATAAAAGATAAAATATATTATATGAGGAGTATGGAGAAGATGTGAAAGTCATTAAAAAGGGAGAAAAGAGAAACTAAAAATCATTAGATAGAGAATATTAAATTGTTTAATTAAATAAGAATTTTGAACATAATTAACAAACAAGGATAGATTTGGTAGATAAAATAAGATAGTTGAAGTAATTATATTGATTCTTATCAGAATTAAGCATTCAGTTAGGATTCTTGTGCTGAAAAAAATACACACAGGTTCAGCACTGTTTCACAAGTTTAGCAAATATATTTTCATTTATCAAACACTCAAAACATCTGAATGTCTGAAAAAATTCAGATTCAGCACTTTTTTATGTTATCAAACAGACCCTTAGTGCGCATGACTCGAAAGAAACTACAAAATTATTAAGGGACTTTTGTTTTTTACGCTCCCCTCTTTCCAATTCCTTCCCACCCCAATTGCTTGGCTAGGGATCGATCTTTTGACCAAGCAGCAGGGAAAGGGCTTTAATTCCCTTCCCTTGACCAAAAACTAAGAAGGGACTTGGTAATAGTTGCACGGCCAAAAACCTCAAAAGTGTCCAAAAAAAAACAACTAAACTAGTCCTGCAGGCTCCTCTTCTTTCAGTAAATTTGTATTGGCATTTAATCATGAAGGAACAGGGGGATTTAGCATCCTATAACATTTGAAAATTGTCGAATAATCTGCATTTTTGTTCATGAGATGAGCCTTTATGCGTAGAATAGGCCTTGGTCAATTAGTTAAGATTGAGGTTATAGGAATTAGAGATTCTAGATTTAAAACTCTGACTTTTTAAATCTCATCCCTCCCTGCTGATTTCTGATGTTCTTTTCCTAGGTTTTTGAAGTTTCTTTTAAATTTTGGAAAAAAATGTTTTCGTCCTTCGTGTTTTGCACTTGTATGATTTTAGTTCTAAAGTTTTAGCAAAAACAAGTATGGTCCTTAAATTTTTGGCAAAATTTTTGGTAAAAAATAATTTTGGTCCCAAACTATTTCCAATTTTAAGCAAATTTAGGACAACTGACTAACATTTTTTAATTACTAATGGAATGTAATAATGTTCAGTCTTGTGTGAGTTAAATTAATTTTGTAAGAAAAGAAGTGAACAGTAAGAGCAACTCATGTGATGACACGTGAGTAATTAATTAACCAATAAAATAGGAAAAGAGGAAATTTATTTAATTATGCACAAAAACCAAGTGTTAGGGCTTTTTTTTCTTAGGGTTGGTAGGGATGGAGAGAGAAAATGAGTTCCAAATTGATGAATTAAATGCTCTGACTAGTTAGAATTTTGCACTTTAACAATTTTTTACCAATTAATTAGTTAGCACATGAGTTATTAGTCCTTAATATTGTCGTTTAAAGTTAGCCACCATTTTTTTTATTTTTATATTTAATATAATGGACACATGAATAAATTCTATCAGTAATTGAAAAACATTCAATTATGCTAAATCTACTTTTTATTGGATGCGTTAGAGACCAGAGTTATTCTCATAGAAACTTTAGGGACTACAACCGTGCCCATGCTAAATATCAAGAACTAAATTTACTTTTGTCAAAACTTTAAGGACTGGTGAATTTTCATATTGACAACAAAAAATTTACAAAGAATTTTAGTACATCAATGATGTTGTGTTCACCTGCTTATTACTGGCAACCAGAAGTTGAGGTGGAACATGGAGTTTTTAACATCTATGCTATGCCACTACTTGAAATTTCTCACTGATTAAGGTAATTTTACTCCTTAAATTTTTTTAAATAAAAGTCAAAATTTATTAAATTACTAGAAAATAAATATAAGATGGAGGGGGACATAAATGTTACCTCTCGATTCTACTGAATTTCAAATATCAAATACTTGAAGTTTGATCGTTATAACTTAACATGCATTGCAATACTGGTAATCGGAGGAGTTACAGTATTCGGCTTGATATCCTGGTGTATATTCGTGCTAGAGATATAAACAGTCATGGATAATTATGAGATGAGATCCTTCCGAATGCGTTAAGAGAATGCCTATAATGATCATTTATTCTCTTTCCTTTTCTTAATTAAAGAAATAATTGGAAAATAAAACAGCAAGTACAAAAATGAGTAATAACCCCCAGTATAGACTGGTACGATTCAATTCAACATTTTGTTCGTTCGGGTTTGATTGTGTCATAGCTCTATAATTCGGATGTAGTTTTATCGTTGGATGAACTGCATTGCTGAAATTGATCCTAAAAAAAAGACGGTAGGTACAGCTAGGCCGTGAGCAGCCAACCATCGTACTGTAAAAATTGGATAGGTTCGATCTATAGTCATTAGGGCCTCCTAAAAAGATCTACTAAATTCATCAAGTTGTTCCAAAGGATCAAAACGGCCAGTTATTAATGGAATATATGTGAATAGTGCTTTCTCCTTTTGGAATTTTGTAGAAATAATTAGAATAAACTGATATGCTGCGTTGTATTCATCTTTAGTGGTTTATGAGTTGGTTGCACTAATTTTCACAAAAAATATTTTTTTTCCTTAAATATCATTTATATGCATTATAAGCATGAGTTTGTTTGTTTATGTGCTAATCAATCTATAAATGACCATCGCACTGTGGTTGATTTTGTAGATAAATTTTCTAAAGCAGTTAGGTTGAACAATTGTTTAGGCTTCTATTGCCCCTTCAACAAGATTGAGGCAAACTCATTGTTCACATCACATCATTCTCTGTTAAACCTTATTAGCTAAATGTTATATAAAAAATTTGGATAAGTTTGAAGCAAATCCACATTTCAAGTTATTCGTTGCCAAACTTCGTTCGCCATAGCTATTAACAAAAGCAAAGAATATAATGCACAGTTGAAAAGGCTCAATGCTCAACATCAACAACATCAGAATCTGAATTAGCAAAATAATTAGAAGCCTAATAGACTTTTGTATTGACTATATATTTTTTTCCAAACATTAAATTTATTGAGACACAAAGGCGACTATTCACTAAATATATGTCTCTAGCTAAGAAGCAAAATTCAACATAGCTACTGTGGAATGAAATATGTTCCCAAGGATCGGTAATTAAGACCAAATTATGCTCTAATTAGTTCATCTTTCAAGGATTAACGAATGAAATATATGATAAGCAAACAAAAAATGTAATTGTCAGCCCTCAATGGAATAAGGATGAAGTTTCCAGCAAGACAGTTAAAGTGAGAATCCCAAGCAAGGAATTTCCATTTCAAAGCATCCAAGAAATTTAAAGTGAAGATGCCAAACAAGGAATGTATATTTCCATTGCAAAGGAAGGCATCAAAGTTAAGAATAACTCTGCACTTTTAAGCGACCAAATACCAATGCTCTTCTCTCTTTAACCACTTGTAACATTACCAACTTCTGGCTGCTAAAACCTCCCATTTAAAAAACCATCTTGATCTCAAGACTGAATCCAAGTTGTTTATTAAAAAGAAAAAAATGTCCGACGCTCTTATCAGCTCCACAATTCAGGTCACCTTGGAAAGGGCACTGTCTCTTGCCTCTGATAGGATTGGTTTGCTAGTTGGGTTCAAGAAGGATGTGGCCAGCATGACACTATCTCTTGGTTTTATCAAAGATGTCCTGGTTGATGCTGAGGGAAGGCAAAACCAAAGCAGCGGAGTGCAACGATGGTTGAGATGTCTGGACGAGGTGGCTTATGATGCTCAGAATGTGTTGGATGAGCTCCACTATGAATCTCTTCGTCACCAAGTGGAGTCCCGAAACCGGCACAAGCTAAAGGTATGCTGCTTCTTCTCCTTCTGTAACATTAATCTTGCTTTTCGTTGGAGAATGGCTTCTAAGGTCAGGGACATCAAATTTAAGTTGAATGAGATAAATCAAGAAGCCAACAGATTGGGGCTGGTCAGTAGGTTAGTGATGACAGCTGCCCTCCCTGCTGCTGTTGGAGACACAAGAAGTCGGCAGACCGACTCTGTTGTTGCTCCAATGATTGGAAGAACTGATGATGAATCAAAGATAGTGAAGATGCTGTTGAGCCCGTCTGAGAAGGTTGTTTCTTGTCTTCCCATAACTGGTATGGGTGGTCTAGGCAAAACAACTTTGGCTAAATCGATATACAACAACAAGCAAATTGATGCACACTTTAACAAAAAGATTTGGGTTTGTGTATCGAAAAAAGTTCCAATAGAGGAGCTTTTCAAACTCATATTAGTGCATTTGACGAAAGAAAAGGTTGAAGTGGATGTTAGAGACGTCATCGTTGAAAAAATTCAGAATCAACTTGGGGGAAAAAGATATCTCCTAGTCCTTGATGATGTGTGGGATGATAATCAGGCATTGTGGGATGACTTTTTCACCACCTTGAAGGGGCTCAATCCAACCAATGGAAGCTGGTGTCTGGTCACTACTCGTCTAGGTCCAGTGGCACACAGTGTGTCTAGAGTTTTGAGGATGATGGAAAATGAACCCTATCCATTAGGAAAACTACCTGATGATCATTGTTGGTCTATCGTAAAAGAAAAAGTAGTTGGAGGGGAAGAAGAACTTGATGAACTAAAAGCAATTAAAAAGAGAGTAATCAAAAGATGTGATGGTCTACCATTGGCTGCAAGTGTAATCGGAGGCCTATTATCTTTAAAGAGAAAAGAGGAGTGGCAATCAATTTTGGAGAATAGGCTTTTGAGTTGGAGTGCAGGTGGAGATCATGTGAAGGAAATACTTGAGTTTAGTTTTGATAATTTGCCATCTCCATACATTAAGAAATGTTTTGCATATTGTTCTATATTTCCTAAGGATATTGAGATGAAAGGAGATATGCTAATCGAACTTTGGATGGCAGAAGGTTTCCTCCAAGTAGACATCAATAGCCAAATGATGATGGAGGAAATTGGAATGAATTATCTGAGAATTTTATTGCAGAGTTCATTGTTTGAAGAAAGAATTTATCAGTCGATAACATATTATGTGATGCATGATTTGGTGCACGACCTTGCAGGGTCAATGTCAAAGTCTACCAAAGTCATTAATAATGGAGATACACATATCGTAGACAGTGGTAATCAGATTCGTTACCTTGCAATAGACTCATCTGGTGGCAGAGAAGACAGAGAAAAACTTCTGGAGAGTCTATCAACTTCAATTCATACATTGTTCATCGTAAATGGTGACTTATCTGGCGATATGTTAATGAAGTTGAAGAACTTGTATGTCTTGAGTTTGTCTCGTGCAACAACTCAAGAGCTACCAGTCTCAATTGGCAAATTGATACATTTGCGGTATTTTAACATTGAGTTTTCTGCAATTAGTATTTTGCCAAACTGTATTTGCAAGCTTTATAAGTTGCAGACATTGACCCTAACCAAAGCTGTTAAAGATCTTCCGAAGGGGATGTGCAATTTGATTAGCTTGAGACATCTCTATTATTATAATGATGATGAAGAATTTCAAATGCCGCTAGGGATGGGACGACTGACTTGCCTCCAGACACTAGAGTTCTTTAAAGTGGGCCTAGAGAAGGGTCGACGAATTGGAGTGCTTGGAAGCTTGAAGAACCTCAAAGGCAAATTAAGTATACACAATCTTCATCTAGTAAATGATAAGGAAGGAGCTGAAGAAGCAAATCTATCTGAAAAGGCAAATCTATTTAGTTTCCGACTTGTGTGGGCCTGGCCTTGGTATCGAGAAGACGACAACCACAATGACAAAGATGTGTTGGACGGCCTTCGACCCCACCCAAATTTGAAGGAGTTGGTAATTGAGAATTTTATGGGTGAGCAATTTCCCCGATGGTTAATGGAATTGCCAACAGCAACAACACTCCCCAAATCAGCAACAACACTCCCCAAGTTAGCGCGTTTGAAATTTAAATGCTGCAACAGATGCAGAGAACTCCATCCCCTGCAAAACTTTACATCTCTTAAAGAGCTAGTGATTAAAATTTGCTATGGGTTGACAAATCTGCCAGGTGTTATGCTACACTCTTGTACTTCTCTCCAGAAGCTTCGGGTGATTGGTTGCAACAATCTTATCTCCTTTCCGCTTGATTTGCAACAAACACCTTCTCTCTTGAAGCTGGAATTATTCAAGTGTCCCAAACTGAAAACAAGCATGACGCCCAAAGGATTTGGTTTCCTAACCGGATTAAGGCAGCTTACAATTGGTCCCTTCTCAGATGATGATGATGATCATGAAAATTCTTCACTTTATAATGAATTTGATTGGTCTGGATTGATATCCTCCTCCTCCTCTTCATCATCCGCACCCTGTCAACTAAGATTATATGGGTTGCCACACATGGAGTCCCTGCCACATCAGATCCAATACTTGACGACTCTCACAACACTAACGCTAGATGGCTTTGGAGGTATAAAAGCTCTGCCAGATTGGTTTGGAAACTTGGCGGCTCTTGAAGACCTGTATTTACGGAATTTCAAAGAGCTTCGACAATTACCCTCTGAGGATGCCATGAGAAGTCTCACCAAACTAAAACGTTTGTGGGTTTTACATTCTCCTCTGCTAAAAGAAAGATGCACTCCTGAGAGCAGCGGCCCCGACTCCCAGTGGTCCAAAGTTTCTCACATTCAAGACCTAGACATAATCCATTTTTAACCACTCATCTTTAGATCAAATTCAATCATGTAAGATTGTCTTTTACCAACTTTCTTAATTTGCTTTACAATCAATCTCCCCTTCTCTTCACCTCCCCCTCTGATTAACCTTCTCGGGAGAAAACCTAAAAAGTCCCCATGGTTATTTTCACAATTTTCTCTTCTCTCTTTTTATCATCCTATTTATTATCTTTCAAAGCTGCAGCATTAGCATTTCTTATCGGGTCCAAAATATTGTTGCTCTTCATTTACTCCTTACAAGTTACAACATAATACTCTTGTAACCATTAATTAGAATGACCCCAAGCACCTGTTCTGTTTCGTGCTTTGATGTTTTACTGTATCTCTATTCATATTCTGTTCTATGCTTTGTTTTTGTAGGATTGATAGAAGAATAGCTTTACGAACAGAGGTCAGAATTTTGAAGCTTTTCAGCACCGTCTAGTTTTGGCCTGCATTTCCTACAAATAGTCTATCAACGTTTAGAACAACTAGCAGTCTTGTTTTGTTTATTTTACGTGATCTGCTTCTGTGGATTTTAAGTTATTAATGCTAAAATCATCTCACTCTATTTAAAACAGTGATTTTAAGGGGACTGAACTTTTACCTCTTGATAATGAACTTGCATACTTATCTGAACTATTTGACTAGTAATTGCTCCATCAGAGTCATATATGATGGTTTTCTGGCTCACTTCTCCTTGATTTTGGCTTTTTAGCCATGAAGACAATGGTCAATTGAGGAGTTTTCACAGCTGTTGGTCATCACTTTCATGTTTTGGTTTAAAAATTCTGGTAATTTTAGATATGCTTCTCTTCTTTCACTGCTCAGTTTTGACTTTTAACCACTTTAATATCTAATATATTACATATAAAACAGAAGAAATCTTGTCGTCGTGAAGATATTTTTGAGGTATCCAAGGAAGGTGTGTACTGTTTGAGCAATGAAGTTGTATCTTCCAACATTCAACTCTATGTGCAATGGTCTGAAGCATTCTAGTAGTTAGTCAAGTTTGCTTGTTGTGAATTGCTGCTCTTAATGAATCCACCTTGATAGAGGCTTTTAAGCTCTCTCTGCTTTTATGCTTGTTGGTTGCTTCCTTTTTTAATGGTAAGTTTCTCCTTTTGGGGCTTTAGTTACAATGACAGAAAACCTGCAATTATCTGAAAATTTCCATTAGCTTTATTCTATGCTATTCGCCGGCTTGAGTTTGAATTTTTGTGCTTTGCAGTGATTTTAGACCCAAAACTCAACAGGGAACCTCATCAATGACTCTTACTTACTGTCAGATAATTTATAATGCCAATAATCTTCTTCCACTTCTTAATATTGGGTTTTAAGAAGTTTAATATCCAATGAATAAATTAAAACCTTTAAAAAATTGTCATGTTTAAGACTTTTTCAAGCAGCAGAGACTTGGTGGACTATCCTCTTCTGAAGTTTAAGTTAAAATGCCATGATTTGAGATTTTAAGAGTCAGAGTTGTAATTAGCTCTACTCATTGCATCTTGCTGTCTCAAAGAGTTTGCCTTCATGACAATTCTGGAGCTCTCTGCCTTTTGTGCTTGTGGGTGCTGCTCATTATCATTATTGTTATAGAACTTCTCATTTTCAGTGTTTTGAACAAAAACTAATATAGTTTCTATGGCACTTCTGGTACTTATAGATTGAGCAGAAAGATTTGATATCTTCCCACTGATTTAGGTTAGAAAAGCTATCTAAATAATTGACTAAACAAAAATGTCATGCAATTTCCAGTTAATTTTTCGTTTGCATTTCCTAAAAGTTACCCATCAATATGAAATAAGCACTAAGAGTTTCGTTTTGTTGATTTCATATATCTACTTTTGTGGATGTAAGATGTGATTGCTAAAGTGATCAGCTCTCTAACTTATGATTCTAGAGGGGGTAAATAATTGCTCCAGAGTTTAATCACCTCTTGAAGGTGCATTTATCAAGCTTCTTGAACCATTTGATTAGTGATTTGTTCGATAATTCTCATAGATGATGGTTGTGTCTCACTTTTCCTTGGTTATGATTTTCTAGTAGTAAAGATTTCAGGAGTTTTCAGAACTGTTGTTCATCAAATTGGTGTTTCGTTCTTCAAATTGGTGTTTCGTTCTAAGAGTACGGTAAGTTCAGATATACTGCTCTTCTTTTACTACTCAAATTTGACTTTTAACTACTTTGATTCTGAACATATTACAACCAAAACTTGAGAAATCTTCTCATAATAAAAATGTTCTTGGGAGCAGCCACGGAAGTTGTACCATTCATGCAGCAAAGCTGGACATACTTGTTAGAGTATCTTCTGACACAATCAAGTCTACGCTGCAAGTTTTGAAGCATATCGCTGTGGTTAGTCAAGACTGCTACTTGTTGGCTGCTGCTACTTGCTGAAATTATTTCATCCGCTCATTCTGCCACGTATACTTGCTGGTTGCTCCTGTCTTCATGGTAAGTTCTTATTTTAGTGTTTCAAATACAACAAAAATGTCATGCAACTATGTGCTGGCTTTATTCTTGACTACATGCTGTCTCGAGTTTCTTAAGTTTGAGTTTTTGTGTTTTGCAGTGATTTTGCACTCAAAGATCAACATTAACCCTGATAGCTCTTACTTACTATCCTTGGTACTTTTAATATGATCCCTTGCTGATCAAGATCCTGTTTCAGTCAGATCAGATGAAAACATCGGGGATGGAATTCCCTTTTGCTCCCTGTCTCGGATGGCCAAAGCCTAAGATCTTCCCTGTTGGCATGGTTCTTTTAAACTATCATATCCAACCTATTCAGCAATTTGTAGAATGTTAATGAGGTGCTATTTTACTTCTTTTTGGAACTCAATTTGCCATATCTTCCTTACTGCTCGTAGTTCCAAGTAGCCGGTATTTTGCAACAGAAAGATGTGGATTAGCTGAACCCTGATAGCTGCTTGCATCCTTCTCGAAGTTGTATCTTAGCTCTATAACAGGCAACATATTTTTTCTCAGTGTTCTGCAGTTGACTACAAGTTGTGCCTAATGATACTTTTCCATTGCTCCTTGTATCTGTAAATCTCAGACTGGACTCAGAGCACAAAGAATCAATCAGCTTGAGCCCTTCTATTTATGTTAATCAGAGGGCAATTTAGAAAACTGAATTGCTAAGGCACCAATTTCTATTCAAGAAAGGATCCCACTTGGTGGATGGGAACGTTGGAGAGATGAAATTATGGAAATCAATTGAACAGGATTATATGGTCAACCTTAGTTCATCACACTGACATTTTACATAGCATCTATTTGTAAAATTACTTCTATGTGAACTTGTCTCCTTGTACATCAATATTGTTCCATGAAGCAATAATGTGACATGGATCTCACACATCTTGGCATCAAATCCTATTCATTGCTAGCTCAGGATATGTTACAATTAAAGCATTTCTACTTTTCTATGCCTCTAAGACTTTGACGGCCAATATAAGTAAATCATCTCATATCTGTATCAGTATAGAAAGTGATTTGAGGTTCAATAATAATAACAATAATAATAATTAGTTACGTAAAAAATGCATTTCCTCGTAAGTGCTGCCCTCCCTCTTCTCCCTCTGATTCTAAGCATTCCTTTTTCCCTTATTCTTTGTTTTTTTCTTTTTAAATTTCCGAGCAACGTAACTGGTTTCAGCAATTTCTACTTAGTTCTTGAACTGCATTCGGAATTTCTTTTTCCCTTATTCTTGAACTGGTTCCAGCCTATCTCGTGGTGGTAGCATTTCATGGTTAGAATGGTAGATAATTCGCCTTTTTCACTTGACGCTGGGAAACTTATAAGGTTAAGAAACTACAGCAAAAATTATGCGTAAAACCCAGAATTCGCCAATGTTAGACAAGTGCATGGACGTTTATGAAGTTCAAATTTTGATCACCAATTCGAAATTTTGTTTGTTTCTCTTTAATAGTAAGAGTTATGCATTGAAATTATTGATGGGATTCTTGTAAGAAATGCATTTCTCATTTTTGCTGAAATGCTGTTTTGTGTTTTCTACTTCTTATATGCACTTTTTTCTGTGAAAAGTTATGGAAAGCAATTAGACAGAAATATAGAGAATTTCCGGCATATTTGAACTGAAAGTGTTCCCAAACCTATTTAAATGAAAGAAGACCATCATAGGTAGTAATTAACGTTGTCTTGATTAAATAGGTCTGGAAATAGCAAAGATTGTAGCTTTGAGCTCTCTGTTTTAGTTTGGCCTGATGTTCTTTTGTCTCTGGTCGGACCAATTAGGAGATGCAAAATGTGCTGTATCCCTATATTCCAAAGAATTGGATTAAATCAGTTGACTTTCTTTTCTTTTTTCTATGGTGACACTTCCCCAGGAATTTCTTACAAATTAGCCTCGTAAATTGTAATTGGGAGTTTATGTATAAGGACTTGTATTGGAAGTTTTATGTCTATTGCCTGTTATTCTGTGACGTTGTAGCTGGCTCTGAATTAGTGTATAACAAAAAATTTGTTCCATACTGATCATACTGTTGCTATTGCATTTACTTCCCTCTTTTGGAAACTAGTAATAATTCACGTGCTTTGCGCATGATTGTAATATTTTAAAATATATTATTTTTTAGATACTAAAATTTTTTATGAAATTTTGATCATCAACATCATAATATAGTATTTTTATGTTATTTATTTTTTTAAACTAGTTACTTTTAAAAATTTTATTAAATGAAAAGAGACAAAAAACATTTCAATATAGTTGACATATCCCTTAAGATTGAATTTGAAATCATGAACCAAACACTTTTTGATTTATAGCTTGAACTCTAGCATATCAACTATTGATAATATCATGTTTTACCAAAATTATTGTATATTCATGGCTCTATTGCATAAAAACCGCAATAATCACAATTTTTTATAAACGAAAAATAAAATTAGGTTAGAAAAATAAACATAAATGTAATTTGAATTCTTTGTATTATGTTAATTCTATTTTTGTCAATAATGGAGTATAAATGATCCATCACGTAAAATTTTTTTGGCTTGTACATTCTAACAATTGATATTTTATAGATAGAGATAGTTGGAGTTTTTCTATTTTCCTTTTCTTTTATTCATGTTTTTAGCACAATCCAATGCGAAGCAAGAGCAACAAGTCTACTTTTTTCATATGAGCACAATATTTTTGGTTTTAATATTAGTTTTTTTATGATCATGAAATTGGAATGAGAATCGTGGCTAATTAATAATTTTAATATTAATTTTTTTTGTATATTGCATTGTTTTAGTTTTTAATTGCCAACTTTGAATCCATAACTGCTATCATTATTATCAATTATTGGAATGCATTAAATCTGTTTAATTACAATTGTCACCATAAATGAAATTTACTTAATTTTAAAGCTTTTCATTTCATAACTGCTTCCATTATTCACTAATATTGCAATACAATAAATATATGTAATCATTAGAAAAATAAGGGTATTTTGGATATTACTAAAAACAATTTGGATATCATTTTCATTTTATCATTCTTCATTTTATATTTACTCTTGTTATAATTCTTATTTTATCATTTGAAGATGGTTTCTGACTTAATGGATGGATTTAGTTTGTTCAAACCAATACAAATGAAATATTACTATATTATTGTCAATAACAATGTTTGTCTTCTCTTGGATATCAGTGATTTGGATGTTGCCTTTGGTATTATTTGAATTGTATTCTAACTTTTTAATTCATTTGCTATTTATTTTATGTCATTTTATAAATAGTTTCCAATCTTATTTTAGTTTTTCTTGTTTTGATCGGTTGCTATTAATGATAATAGTGGTTTGTATGGTGCTATTTTAGATTTCTTTTTTCTGGTTTAATACTGCTATTTCAGTTATAAAGGTGTAATCATTTTTTGTATATTGAAATTTTATTGGGTGCAACATGAAAAATTCTTCTTATTGGTAAAAGTGCATAATTGTAAAATTTACTCGTGATATTTGTGTGAAGATATACAGATGAATAAGGGTTTTTCTTGTCATTGTATGTTTCTCCATTTTCTAGAGAATATCTAGTTTTTGAAATTGATTTTTTTTAACAATCTCAACTAATGACTAATGAGAAATTTTTCATGCTTCAATTAAGAAATTTTGATACGTTATAATAATAGGAGATGGAGTCCAAGGGCAAGTAAATAGTTTTTAATTTTTAATTATAATTATCAATGCCATTAAAATGTAATCAATTGGAGTGTTTTATTTCTTTTAATTAGTGCCACTTAAAATGCAATAATTCTAATTAAAAGACATGAGGGTAATTTAGGAATAACAAAAACTATAAAAAGTATGAATGTTGGCATTAGGGAGTGCAAGTGTAAGCACTTTTTTATCTTAGTTTTTGTTATCCCTAAATTACCCTCATGTCTTTTAATTAGAATTATTGCATTTTAATGTGGCACTAATTAAAAGAAATAAAACACTCCAATTGATTACATTTTAATGGTATGGTATTGGTAATTATAATTAAAAATTCCTCACTAAAAACTATTTACTTACCCTTGGACTCCATCTCCAAAAGTATGAATGTTGGCATTAGGGAGTGCAAGTGTAAGCACTTTTTTATCTTAGTTTTTGTTATCCTTAAATTACTCTTATGTTTTTTAATTAGAATTATTGCATTTTAATGTGGCACTAATTAAAAGAATTAAAACACTCCAATTGATTACATTTTAATGGTATTGGTAATTATAATTAAAAATTCCTCACTAAAAACTATTTACCTACCCTTTGACTCCATCTCCTATTATTCTACATAACAAAATTTTTTAATTGATGCATGAAAATTTTCTCATTAGTCATTAGTTGAGATTGTTAAAAAAATCAATTTCAAAAAATAGATACTCTCTAGAAAATGGAGAAACATACAATGACAAGAAAACACTTATTCATCTGTATATCTTCACACAAATATCACGAGTAAATTTTACAATTACGCACTTTTACCAATATGAAGAATTTTTCGTGTTGCATCCAATGAAATTTCAATCTACAAAAAAATGATGACACCTTTATAACTGAAATAGCAGTATTAAACTAGAAAAAAAATCTAAAATAGCACCATACAAATCACTATTATCATTAATAGCAACCGATCAAAACAAGAAAAACTAAAATAAAATTGACAACTATTTATAGAATGACATAAAGTAAATAGCAAATGAATTAAAGTAAATACCAAAGACAACATCCAAATCACTGATATCCAGGGGAAGACAAACATTATTATTGACATAAAGTAATAGGAAATGAATTAAAGTAAATACCAAAGACAACATCCAAATCACTGATATCCAGGGGAAGACAAACATTATTATTGACAATAATATGGTAATGCTTCATTTGTATTGGTTTCAGCAAACTAAATCCATCCATCAAGTCAGAAACCATCTCCAAATGATAAATAAGAATTATAAGAAGAGTAAATATAAAATGAAGAATGATAAAATGAAAATGATATCCAAATTGTTTTTAGTGATATCCAAAATACCCTTATTTTTCTAATGATTACATATATTTATTGTATTGCAATATTAGTGAATAATGGAAGCGGTTATGAAATGAAAAGCTTTAAAATTAAGAAAATTTCATTTATGGTGACAATTGTAATTAAACAGATTTAATGCATTCCAATAATTGATAATAATGATACCGGTTATCGATTAAAAGTTGGCAATTAAAAACTAAAACACTGCAATATACAAAAAATTTACATCAAAATTATTCATTAGCCACAATTCTCATTCCAATTTCATGATCATCAAAAAAACTAATATTAAAACAAAAAATATTGTGCTCATATGAAAAAAGTAGACTTGTTGCTCTTGCTTCGCATTGGATTGTGCTAAAAACATGAATCAAAGAAAAGAAAAATAGAAAAACTCCAACTATCTCTATCTATAAAATTTCAATTGTTAGAATGTACAAGCCAAAAAAACTTTACGTGGTGGATCATTTATACTCCATTATTGAAAAAAATAGAATTAACATAATACAAAGAATTCAAATTACATTTATGTTTATTTTTCTAACTTAATTATATTCTTCGTTTATAAAAAATTGTGATGATTGTGATTTATATGTAATAGACTTATGAATATACAATAATTTTGGTAAAACATGATATTATCAATATTTGATATGTTAGAGTTCAAGTTATAAATCAAAAAGTGTTTGGTTCATGATTTCAAATTCAATCATAAGGGATATGTCAACTACATTGGAATGT